GTACATGCTGATGATGATGAAGTTGAGAATTTGATGAATCGGATTGAAGACGATGCCACTGACATCTTTTTCTCCTCACTCTAGTTTTGCACCCTTTTTTCTTTAATTTATTTTTTATATTTTATATTTTATTTTTATTTTTATTTTGTAGGTTTGGGTTTTGTTTGGATTTTTTGGGGTGGAGAGAGAGAGAGAGAGAGAGATTTGGATGATCAGAACCTGGCCTAGAGAGCTGTGTGTTTCTGTGGATATGGTGTGGCCAAGTTTCCGTTGAGTTTTTGGTGTAGTAGGTTTAGGGCGGTAAATCCTGCCCGCAAGCCCGTGGCCCCGAAGTCCACCTGCGGTCTGAGTGGACTCAATTCGATTAGGCTTGGTCAAGTTTGAGTTCAAGCTTATGTTGAAATTTTGAGCTTGAGGTTAAGTTAGGTGTTCTGGACCTCAATCCAGCTTACTTAACTCGGCTGATCAACTCGTTTTAGGCTACTGAAGGCCTGCTCGAGTTTTAATGTCATTTTTAATAGAGAAAAAAATTATAAATAAATAGTCTAGTCAAGTCCGTCAGCCCACCTGAGGCCCGAATATTTCTTGGGCCTAGACTTAATTTTCTGGTCTGTGGGCTAAGTATCTGAATTTTGGCAAGAACTCGCGCGACCCGACATAGACCAACCCGAGTCGAGTGTTCCCTCTTCTCTTAACCGTTCTCCTGTATCACTATGGGTGTACTTCCTTCTTACAGCATTTGAAGTATGGTGGCGGTGGAGGTGGCGGGGAAGGAGTTGGGTAGCGGCGATGGAAACGATATCGATAGGGGCAGCGGGCTTTCAAGTAAATCTTACTTGATTTGCTACAGATCTTACTTTCAAATCACATCTTTGAAAAGATCGGTGATTGTTTCTAAATTGTAGCTAATCTTTTTGGCAGTTTTTTTATTTTTATTTTTCCCTTTTGTTGTATGATTTGTTTGGCCCTTTGGAGTCTTGTTCTATATGTTCATTTTAATATAAATATTTTCCATGTTCTAAAAAAAAATTTGTTTAATTTTAATTTTAATTTTTTTAAACTTTTACTAGATTGTTTTCTATTTTAAATTTTTGAGTTAAAATAAATTATTTAAAAATTGATAAATAATCATTTATAGTTTCTTGTTACTGATCATCAACTCTCAATTTGCATTTATGAAAGAGATATAGTTATTGGATTTGTTTGTTGTTTAAAATGATCTAAATAAGTGTATTTTTTAATTTTTTATAAAAAAAAACGTGAAATATGGATTGAGTTTGAAATGATGTGGTAGAGGGATGATATGAGTTAAATAGGATAGTGACTTTTTGACTTTTTTATATTATTTCAAACTAGGCCTTTATAAATTAAAGTACAGATAATTAGAAGTTGAAATCAAAATTCTCTCTTAACTTTTACGTATAAATTATATTAAATAATTTAACATGGATTCTCAAATTTAAAATAATAATAATAATAATATAAACATAGAATAATTACACTGAACAACCCATTAATTGAGGCAAGTGACCTTCAATAATAGGGTAAATTTGCGGTGGACATAGGTTAAGCATTCTCTCAGAATTCCTTATCTGCTTCTCCGATGCGTCAATTGAAAGATATTTTGTTGAATAAAAAAATTGTAAGATATTTTAACAGATTTTAAAATACAAAAATCACAAATTATATGATAAGAAAATAATAAATATTCTCATACTTACCGGTGACACTTGAGAAAATTGTCTCATTCGTCCAGTCATCGGCCATTTGTTAGCTCTCTATTCATGCATTTATTTATTTTTTACTTTTTATTCTCAACAATAAATATATGAACACAATAACAACAATAATAAAAAAATTCCAGATTGGTTTTTAAAATGCTGACAACATCACATTCATCCTATGAAATTTTTGGAGTCTATCACAATTGTGATCACAATTAGGTTGCATGGATTTTCATTATCTTTCGGTCAAGGTTTTGCACCTGTGCGGGGGTGATTTCCGCACTATAAAGAAGGGTTGAACTTCGTGGATGAACAGCAGGCTTTGGAAATTGAAGATCTGCACAGAATAACAAACGGTGAGGCTGCCCGACCAGGGTTTGGTCGGAAACCCCTCCGATGGTAAAGTCAGCAACTCAGGGAGAGGAAGAAGAGAGAATGCAGAGAGTGTATACGTGTTATGTGTGTAGATTTTCGGATCCTTTCAAAATGAATAGTGTTTACCTTTTATAGGAGAAGGTTGTTTGTCGTTCAAGTCCTTCTCTCTCCGCCATCTGTCCAACGTGTCTTATTCGTGGTCGTCTCCTATTGGAGGAGGACGACCACTCTGCTTGACACTCGGGTGCAGGTCTGTTTTGTTTGTCTCATTAGCGGACATCTCTCATTGGAAGAGGACGACCACTCCGCCTGCCATTCAGACGCAGGTCTGTCATATATGCACCTTATCCCTCTGCACCTCCATGTCTCCACGTTTTGTTCATACAGAGGGAGAGGAGCAGAATTGCTTGTCTCTTGTGAGCCCAAGAAAGATCTTCAGTGAATTGGCCTTCTCTAAGTTGGTCTGCTCTAGAACGGTTGTCCAACCAGGAGGTCCAACATGTTGCTCAACCCACTTCAGAGTGGTTGGCTGTCCGTCCAAGAGGTCCAACATGTTGCTCAGCCCACTTCGGAGTAGTTGTCTGTCCGTCCAGGAGGTTTAACATGTTACTCAACCTACTTCGGAGTGGTTGGCTGTCCGTCCAGGAGGTCTACCGTGCTGCTTGGCCCACTTTGGAGTGACATTCGTACATTGGGCCGAGCTCCTATGATTGTCTTGCTTCGGAGCAAGTGTTGGCCATAGGGCTGAGGTCCGACCTAGCTCCACCTTGGAGTGAGTATCGCATTGGGCCTAGCACCAAGACTTGATCAATTTTTACCCACTTCAGCACCCACTGTATGTCCATTAAACGGCCTCTCTTTCCAGAACCCTAAATATTGCAGGACTAACTTTTTGATCCACACAGCAAGAAGATCCAAGTAGTGGTCCAACCCTACAAGTTATTGACTCAACACTTGAGTTGGAAATCGAAACTCAATCACTTCCACTCTGCCCCAGACCTGTCATGCAACTATCATAAACCAAGCTTAAAAGTAAGGCTGGATGTAGGGTTACCTCAACTACTCAACCCGTCCAATCCGAAACGATTCACATATAAATAGACAGTTTCACAAATATAATGTGACCGGATACGGTTTGAAATATGACATGATCGCGGATTGTGGATTTAATCCGCATCTGTAAGAATACGTCCGCACTTAGACCTTTTTTTTTTTAAAAACTTGGACCGTTGTTATTTTATTATTGCATTTTGGATGAATATAAAAGTTAATGAAAAATTACTTTTAGGTAAGCTTAAGATTTTGAATTATTTTACTTTAATTATATTGGGTAGTAGATAATGAATGAGATTGATAATCTAGTTTAGGATTTTGAAAGATGTTTAAAGTTTAGGATTTTGAATGATTTGTTTGTGTTAAGAATTGATTTTGTTATGTTTTTAATTTTATAAGTTTTGATTAATTAATTATTAATGTTAGAGCATTTTAAAAAATGTGAAAAAAATTGCCCAAAATAAATATTTACAAAATGGGGAAAAAAAGGCTCTAAAATAAATTTTTAAAGAAAAAAGTTCAATCCGCAAACCGCTCACAATCGCCCGCACATCCACAAACTTTATCCGCAACAAACCGCAACCCGCACTGTGGGGGATTGCAGGTTGAATTTTCTCCAAACCGCATACCTGTGGGCAGGTTCAAACCGATCCGCAAACCATCCAAAACCGAACCGCGACCACCTCTACTTAAAAGGGTACTTTTATGTCCAGAAATTGAAGTCTCGTTTGGAAACACGTTATTTTAGTAGTTTTTTTGATTTTTTACAAAAAGATATGCAGAAAAATAAGAAGAGTGATATAACAATTTATAATAACTTTTTGACTTGTTGACTAAAATTGAAAATTATCAAACGAAGCCTAAATTCTTGCCCCAGACCTACCATGCAACTATTTCATGTCCATAAATTGAATTCATTCTTTCACTTCGAAAAAATTCTATTTTCACACATCAACTGCGCTACAACTTCTTTTCTACAAAAGCTCCTATCTCTCTCTCTCTCTCTCTCTCTCTCTCCCTCCCTGCTATTATCGTCACCACCACCAACCTCTTCCACTGCAACTTATTTGCCACGAAATGCCCATCTTCTCTCTCTCTCTCTCTCTCTCAATTAGTGCGAGTATCAAGTGCAAGCAATAAGGCTGGAGATGAGACTGTAGCGGTTGAGACTCACGAGGAGTAGAAATTGCGATGGTGGAGGAAGAAGGCAATGGGAGGCTTGCTCGAGAGGGACGAGAGTTGGGATGGTTCACTGAAAGAGGAGGAGAGTTGATAAAGGTTTGTCAGAGGAAGAAGAGCTAGAGAAGGACTGGCAAAGGAGTAGAGGGAAGGCAGCCACAACGGTGGTGGAGGGGGCCTAGAAAGGGGCAACTCAAAGCCATGCCATTAACAATGGGTGTTGGTTAAGGGTTTCAATGTTGAAAAGAGAGATATTTTAAGAAAAAAAAATTGTGAATTAAGTAAAATTACAAAATTCAAAATTAATTGAGGCATGCATTGAGAGAAGATGTGGAATAAAGATTTTGATATGTGGACATATAATTACCCCTCACTTTGCCTAAGATGATGATAAACAGAAGCATAGATTTTCCGCATTTGGAGGGCTAGGTGCCCGGTTATAATTTTCCATTTTTTTAGTTACTGACAATCTTTACACTCTAATTCTTATTATGATGAATTAGAGAAACCTTCCACTCTATTCATCATAGCCCCGAGTTTCAACAGGCAGGTCTCTGACAATCATTGATGTAAGGCACACTAATTAGGCCAAATTTTCACTATGCGGTTGCTGATGACCGACACCTAGAAGACTCCAGTGAAGCTCCACATAATTCATTAAACGCTTCAGACAAAAAAATAATACTGAAAATAACACATTAATTACGACAAACAATGGCCAATGCAGGCATTGTGTATGAACATGAATATAAGACAAACAAGCAAAACCCAGATAGACAAAAAATGAAAATCCCCAAAAAAATATAGACACAACTGATCATTCTGATGAAGCCATCCCAGATTAAAAAATTTCGAAAATGGTCGCATGTACTGGATTCAAATCCCGCTTTTCCTTTATCCAAACTTTAGCAGAACATGATAGAAATGAAGCAAGCTCCGTTGGTTGTAACTCAACCATTACTTCATTCATTGCCTTCTAATAGAAGTTGAGCGGACTCACTCTTCTAGTAAATCCAAAGCTACATTATTCTGCATGAACAGTTCCTTTCATCCCCATTGTCAAATTCATCATCCGATCCACCCACATCACTGCCATAACACATAATTCATAGTTGACACAAGGGCATTAAGTTTATATATGAGGAATATGTACAAAATTTACAATAGTGAAATATCAAAACAGATTATAATAGAGAAGCTGACAACAGAGTACTTGCCCATAAAATATCTCCAAGAAGGATGAGGTTTGTTATTCTATCTCAGATGCATAATATTAAAAAGGAGTTTTGGTAGAGAAGAACCCAAAAAAAGTTTAAATGGAAATAAATATTTTGAAAAAAACAAAAAAATCCCTTTCGAGTTCCACTCAACTACATCCAAAAAGAATTTGATTGGAAGCACTCACCTAAGGAAATACAAAGGTTTTTTTTCTTTTTTTTTCTTTTTTGAACAGGAAAGTATAAAGTTTGGACAAGATTTTGTTCTACTCTTATTTTTTAAAAAATATATATATATAAATGACAAAAAAGAATAACATCTATAATATCTACAATAGACCATCTAATAATTAATAATGTTGGCAGAATAAAAAACTATTAATTGATAGGACTATTAATATTAAGCTTCTTAATGATTTTCCACGGAGGAAAAAAAAAAAAAAAAAAACAGCCCAAAGTTACACATTTTTCAGTATAATAACAGGATATGCATGCATATTGTTGAAGACAATAAACTTATTTCACAAATAATATGTCCTATATCAAATCTAGGTTTTACAAAACTCCTACTCCCCAAAGTACTCGGTATTATTTTTTGTTATCAAAAAAAAATATATATTATTATCTCTTTAATATGTCTGGCCATGTGCTCATGTGAACTTGTCTACTCCGTAATTATTATCAACCAGGATTTTTTTTTCAGAAACATTTTTTTTTTTTTTTTGATCAACAGAAACATACTAATTATTAGGTAATAAATTATTAATATTGCACAATGGAACGAGGTTGGTTTCTCAAAAAAGTTATTAATCAATAGAGCTTACTAAGCTATAGACTATTAATTACAAGAGAGTCTATTGTATTACAACCCTTATAGACTTTGATCACTGAACAAGTAATTACTCTCTTCATCCCAATTTGTATCCAACATTCCATTTCTCGAAGTCTCATTTTATGTGTCCTAGTTTGAAAGTTAGATCTTTTAACCGTCACTTTCTCTTATTACCCTCCTTTGAAGTTGTATCTGCACTAGTAGATGCTTTCTCAATAAAGTTTTCTTATTTATCCAATATATATATATATATGCACTAGTAAATACAATTCGAATTCCCAAAAATTCATTAATACAAGACCAACGAAATCTTTGTCAATTCATTATTCAAAGATATGCTTCTTTGAAGTTTGGGCATAATCAACTAGGACACATAAAATGGGACATGGACAATTGTTTTATTCTACTAGGACAGTTTCATGGTTGTTTTGCAATTACCTTCCATTGGTTACAAAACTTGAGTTTCTCAGGATACCAAATTTGTCTTAATGGAGTAGTCTACCATGGAAGGAGCACAATTCTGTCACTAGTTTACTCGTAAGTTCACAAACCTTTAAATGAGTAGTGTAGACAAAGTTCTGAAGCAGGATTGGAAGGAAATTCAATCAGCAAATACTGAACAGCATGATTATACATAATAAGTTATCCAAGAAAATAGCAAAGACACAATTGGGAGTTAACTAGAAGGTAGAGAGCTTAATTAACCTTGATTTGATTTAGCAGATACAGATTAAAGGGAAGAGTTCCTGCGTCTTGCCCTTCCAATAACAAAGACACAATTGTGTCCTCAACATGTCATGTCCTACTACATTTTTTTAAATTTTTGTGTAGGCATGTCGCGTGTGGTATCACATGTACATGCTTCTTAGTCCAACTGCCAATGAATGAGTGAATTCTAGATTGAAGAGCAACTTGTTGAGGATAAAATTGCAAGCTTGATTTAGATTTTAGTTTTTGTCCTACAGAGGATGGGTGGTTTTGTGGAAACGTAGAGAAGGTAGATTCCCTTTTGCATTTCTATGGTAAGGTTTTCTATCCCTTGTGAATGGGGTTGCAAAAGGTTTCTTTAGCAGCTCTATAGGATTGTGGCAAGGGGATCCTTTGTTGCCTCTTTTGTTTCTTTGTGTCATGGAAGCTCTAAGTCGGATGATAGGAACAGTTAGTCGTGGTTATCTTAGTAGCTACGTGGTGGGAGAATGGGATGGTTCTATGATTTCAATTTCACAATTGTTGTTTGCAGATGACACTATCAGTATTATCTTCTGTGGAGCTCAGTGAGGAAGAGTTGAGATATTTGAGGTGTGTTTTGATCTACTTTGAGGTAGTTTCAAGACTAACCAGTGAGCTCATTCTGGTGGGCGGGATTTTGGCTACTAATTTGGGGTGTTAGGTTAGTGCATTACCCTCTTCTTATTTGGGTTTCTTATTTGTGTCTCATGCTTGGTGCTTCTTGAAGAAATTTTTTAGTGGAGGTTCACTGCGTGGAAGACTTTATTAGTTTAAGGGTGAAAAGGTGACCGTTTTCCTGTGCACCCTTGGGGATTAGTCGCCTGTGCCAATCAATTTGGCATCGACACTACAAATGTCATACAAAATGAGATACTCACAAGTTTTTCTACATGTGAAGCAGCAAGCAAGGAATTTTAGACATCAAATCAAATTCCAATATTGAATAATCTCATTTCATCTTTCCATCCATGAACATGCACTAAACACATGGAAACGGAAAGAATATTGGCAAAGAAATTCAAAACCAACTGCAATTCACAACAGCATACCAAGAACAATTTTTAATAGTGTGTGTGCATGCACTTATGCGCACACAAGAATGGAAACATCATAACAAAACCCTACATACCACTTGGAAATAAACTAAAAACAGAATGTTGCATCCTCAAAAAAGTTGTGAATAGGTCTGGAGTTCTCTTACCTGAGCTCAAATTCCCGGATCTGAGCAATCTCTCCTCCTGAAGCATCCGTCCACTGTACTTTCCTTCTTTCCATATGACCAGGGATGTCACTTCCATTCTCACACAATACCTCACATTCACTAACAACCCCACCAGAAACTGGAAGGGTATTTGTAGGCTTCTTCAAGTTGCTCTTAAGAGCAAGCTTTCCTGTATTACTATCATCTTCAACAAGGTCAGTGGTATGGATATGATCCTTGCCCTTGTCAGTAACAGGGGGGGCAGGAAGGATGTCCTGCTGTTGTGTAGGGCCTACTTTTAAAGGAGATGGGCTCTCAAGTCCAGCGGCAGCGCGACCAAAGCAGAAAAAGGAGGCGCACCTGCGGACAAGCCGGTTCTTCGTAGAAGCCAGCTGGAGGTCAGGGTGGGATTCTTGGTCCACCAACTGGTATTGATTCCACGGAGAAACTCTCATGGGTTTTTCTTCCTTCTTCTGACCCAAGAGAAGAAGGGTCAGGCCCTTGCTATACCCAGAAGCTGAAGACGAGAAAAATCCTCCCCCTTCCACTGCCAATAACATCAGTCTTGCTCATCTGGCCACCATAGAACTCCTTTTACAGATCCCTTCACCCCCAAACAACCAAAACCGCCTGCCCTGTACCTACATAAAACTACTCTCATCAAGATGAGCCATCAAAACAGTGCCACCTAAACCAAAGAAGAGAAAAACAAAGTGAAGTATTTGCAATTTTACATCCCCCAAGTTGCCCTCTTCATAGTTTTTTTTAAAAAAATTATCATTTTCTTCATCCCAATCAAAATTCAAAAAGAATAAAGGAAGTGTTAAATTCAGTTGCATAACCCCCAAATCAAGAACATTGCAGGCACTACATATGGCAGGAAACATCACTGAGATGGAAACAATAGAAAACACATTTTTTTTTATTGTCCCAGTTCCTTGAGATACCTCAAAAAATACCAAGAAAACAAAATTGCCAAATAAAAAATCAAAACAGATAAATAATTCATAGTCAGCAATGCTTTGACATATAATAGGATCAACAATTTATTCAAAAACTTTCCACCACATTTGTCTAACCTTAAAGTCACTGAAATCATTCAAGCTTAATCACAAATTGGGGGGACATGAATTGGATCAAAAATTTATAATTAGAGAGACAAAAGCAATGATAAAAAAACAGAGAGAGAATAAAATGTAACAGTTGTTCATTATATATATATACACACAAGTAAATCAAACAGAGTAAAACGAAGTGAAAGATCTCATCATCTGAAGCAACAAAAGCTGAAACAAAGTCACAAAACCCCTACTCCACCATTGAAACCAGCACTACTATCCTCGCTAAAGGTCACCTACCAGAGAGAGAGAGAAAGAGATTTCACGGATCTGATAGAGAGAGAGAGAGAGAGAGACAGGGATCTCACTTCACTCACTCGACGCCGACAACTCGTCGGACCGGCGACTCCGTCATCTCCTATCCAACTAAAAGCTTCGGAACAGAGAGCGCGACGAAAATCAAAAGGCTGAGAGAGAGAGAGAGAGTAAGAGTATGTGAGGACGAGTGATCGCCGAGGAATTGCAGAGTCGAAAGAATTTGGGGCTGCTATTTGAATTAATAATTGTTTATTTATATGTATTTTTTTCTATGGATAATTACCACACAAAAAATATATATATGTAATATATGAATTTGATCTTTTAAGAGCATCTCCAATGCTATTAGATATTTTACTTATCTAAATATTATTATAAAATATATATTTTATTTTGTTTATTGACTATTTTATGTTGAGTAATGTTAAGAATATTTACAATCTTACTAAGACACTTACAAGTTGATGTAGGTCTCATATCAAGTGATGATTGATCTTATCAAAACTGGTGAGTCTTGTGAGTATATTAGTAAAATTGTAAATATCCCTAACATTGCTGTTTTATGTTTCTACTCTAATCTTACTCTTTATTTTAGTTATTCATTTAAATATTATTAACTTTATAGAATACCACATCAACAATAAAGATGAAGAGAAATAATCTTCATAATTAAATACATTTTGGGAAATAATCTTCATAATTAAATACATTTTGTCTAATCTTTGAAGACTGGATGCATGTAGTTAGTGAATATGAATTGAATTAAAATGTCTAATCATATATCTAATACATTGGAGTTGAAAAAAATAAATGCTAAACATTTTAACTAACAAGCATATATACCTGGTGAGTTAAAAATACTTATAACAAAATAAAAAGGTTGCTTTTTTTTTTTTTTTTTTTTTTTTTTTTTTTTTTTAATTCTAATTTAGTCCAAAAATAAAATTTCATTTTTACCCTCATTCCTAACTCTCTAACCCTAATTTTCCAAACCCCAACCCCAACCCCAACCCCAACCCCAATCCCAACGTAATTCCATCCCCTCCGATAGCACTCTCTCCTCCTTTCCACCACTGCGCCGCTGCCATCACCACCAAAAACCGTAACCCTAGATCTCACGTGCTCTTTTCTCAACTCACCATCACTGACATAGAGTGTGAAACAAAGAGAGGTGCAAAGAAAAAGAAGAAGAAGATGAAGACGAAGAGAAAGCGAGAGATCGCGAGTTCGGTGGTTACAATCAGTCCTCGTCATCGTTGAGAGCACCACTAGTGATGGGGTTTGTCGCCATTTCAAATCATGACGGAGCTTCTTATCGCAATTTTTGGATTGCGATTAGGGTTCATGACCCTCTGATCCAATTAGGGCTTGGTTCAAATCGAAATGAAGAGTTATTGGGTTTGAAGATGAAGATAATGATGGAGAGAGAGAGAGAATGTGAAAGATGGTTTAGGGTTTTGCAGGTGAAAAAAAAAAAAAAAAAAAGAAGAGGCAGAGATGGAGAAAGGGATAGTCGGAGTGATAAAATTAAAAATCCATCATTTATTTTGTTATGAGAGTCAAATTTGAATTTTTTTTTTTTTTTTTTTTGTATTTTTTCTTTTGTCTTTTTCTAATATAAGGTTATGTTTGACATAGGTTACTTTAGCTATTTTAGTTACAAAAAGATAAAATAAGTTAAAAAAATTCCTTTTAAAAAGCTAGTAAAAAGTTAACTTTTCATATTTTTGGCTTTATTGGGCCATTTTATCTCTTTACTTTTTTACACAAACAAGCCAAAAAAAGTCACATAAAAGACAAAAAAATTAGCATTTTACCAACTTTTCAAAACTTTACAAAATGTCACATCCAAATCATAATCATTTCTTTTTTCTCTCACAAAAATCTAAAAAGTCACATCTTAAATGAGACTTTTTAATCTCAGATTAAGGGGTTGTTTGGGATATTCTAAACAAGTGTATTTTTTTTGACTTTTTAGACTAAAAAATAGAGGAAAAAATATGATGGTTGTTTGGGATAATTTTTTAATTTTTTACGAAAAAATGTGTATTAAAAAATTATATAAATTAGTAAATAAGAGAAGCAGAGTAGGCAGTGCGGTGGGCAGAGTAGTGTATAGTAGAAACTTGCCTCCTTTTTGGATATTGAATTATATGGTGTTGTTCGGCTCTTGGGGCCCACCACAGGTCCCGTTTTGCTAATCGGAACCGTTCAATGTGTAGAACTTGTTGAGTAATATATATTTGTAAAAAATCACGTTAATCGGATATCGATAGCTATCTGATCGGATTAATTTTTTGTCAACCGTTAACTATAACACCATCCATTTTTTATACAAAATTGATTTGATCATATAGTTAGCAATATTCGATCAACGTGATTTTTTATAGGCATATATTACTCGACGAGTTCTACACATTGAACGGTTTAAATTATCAAAATGGGACCCGTGATGGGCCCCCACAGGCCAAACAATACCATCTTGTTTTCTTTTTCGTCTGTTGCCTTTGTACAAACAGTGAGCAGCTAAAGTACAACTTACGTGACATATGAGTTGTACTTTTTTTATAAAATTAATTTTTTAATATTTTTTTAATAAATAGTGATAACTTTTAAATTTTTTTAAATAATTTTTTAAATCAGTCTTAAAATAGTCAAAATAAATAAATAAAAAGCTAAAAGGCTTAGTGAAGGACAGGGATACTGGTTCGCTGGCGCATGATAGCGATAAGTGTGTTTTTTTGGTGTTCTCTCTCATCTCTCTCATCACTTCTGATAAAGTACGTATGTAATATGGCAATGTATATATGTATTGGTAAAGTACGTATGTAATAATGTAATGTATATATGTATGGTGCAATTGAAAGGTAAAGCTTGCTTTTGTTTTCTTTCAAAGTTCGACAATTTTAGAAAAAAAATGTATAAGCCATCTCCAATCCTGGATTAAACTTGCTATCAAATTTAAAATTTAGTAAAAGAAGTATTTTTTCATACTCTAACTGTTTCACCAAATTGATATCAAATCGAGATTTCACCAAACGTTTCATCAAAATGAGGACAAGCTTCGCATTTCACCAAAATACTGTGCACGGCCGTTAGAAAGACCAACCGGTCAACCACCAAATGGTTCAAACAGTTCCAAAAAAAAGGTTCAAACAGTTTTTAAAAAAAAAAATTTTGCCTTACCGGTCGACCAGGCGGTCAACCACTAAACGGTTTAAACAGTTCAAAAAAATTGGTTCAAACAATTCAGAAAAAAAAAATTAATTAAAATTCCTCTTACCGGTTGTCCCCGGAGCAGATTTGATAAAAAGTGAAGCGTTGGAGCCAGTGATATCAAATTGAGGAAAGTATCCTTTTTTTATCAGATTTGATGAAAAAAGAAGTTCAGGGTTGGGGATGCTCTAATCATTCTTAAAGAAGCAATGTTAACAAAATTTAACAATAATTGCGTAATTATAAGAATAAATTCACATAAATCAACCAACTAGGTCTAGCCCAGTTAGCCACCATACTTTCTTTAGGGCTTAATCCCAATGAGGTCATTGGTTCAATTTCCCTTACGGGATTGAATTAAGGCCCCGTGGTGGGGATTGATAGTGAATGGATTAAGTAAAATTGTACTTGTTTTGATGATAGTTGTTAGTGTACAGACTGTAAAATTATTTTTATATAAAATAAATATAAAATAATAAAAAAAATACAAAAAAAATTAAACATTAATGTTTTAAAAAAAATACCCAACATGTAAAAAATTTAAAAAAAATAAAAATAAAATAAAAAATTTCCGAAAAAAAATAAACAAATAAAATAATAATTTTTACTTAACAAAAAAAATAAAAAATTAAACATTAATGTTCAAAAAAAAATGCCCGACATGTAAAAAATAAAATAAAAAATTTCTAGTCCGCCGGACTATTTTTCTAATACCAAGTCCTGGGAGCCCATCCGAATCCCCTTGGGAAGGCCCATCCTAATCCAGAGCTCACTATCAATCCCCTCCCCATCTCTCAAAACAAACACAATATTAGTGGGTCACACCTCACTACCAATCCCAATCCCTCCTCTAACTCTCTAAACAAACGGGACCTAAGGGTGTGCAAGTACTTAAGCCCTTTACCAAGAGTGAAGAGATTTTCTCTTATAGGTGCTAATCTAACAACTAATATTTGTCGATAAAAAAAAAAATCACACAAATCAAATGGTTTGAATTAATTCAATTGTTCCCCAAAATTCATGATTTTTTTTTTTTTTTTGAAAAGAATTTTCCAAATCTGTAAATTTGTTTAGTTTTGTATTTTGAAAATAATTTTGTAGTTAAAGTTTGTAGTTTATAGTTTTTGTAGTTTGGAATGATTTGTACTATTTTTTGTAATTAAATAGATGAATATTAGAGAAAAAGTGATTGATTGATATGTAAAATGTGAAAAAAATGAGAGAGAAAAGATAAAAAGTGATTGATTAATATTGAGAGGGAAATTTATGAGCTGGATTGTGCTGTGGTAATGACCGAGCAGATTATGGGTCGAACATGTTGTGGGCCATGATAGAGGGTTGTGCTCGATAATGGCCCAGGAACATGCTAGGACCAAGCTACTTGGCTTGTTTATGTAGGAACCGAGCTAATTGGGGTAATTTGGCCGAGATAATGGAAGCCGGTCCTGTTCCCATGGTTCGTGCTTCCAGCCCGGCAAGAAAGGTCTTCGGTTTACCAGCTCAACCAGTTTTCAGCTCGGCTATGCTGGAATGCAATCGAGCTCGGTCATCGTTGAGCTTGGCAAGCGGAGCGCTCTAGCTTGTTGTGCAACACGGCCGTTGGCAGCCGAGATGATGCAGCCCGGTTGCCGAGATCCCGGTAGTGTGGGCTGGCAGTTTGGTTAGGTGATGATCAGCTAGATTTGTGCTGATAGATAGGATAGCAACGCCACGTGTCGAGAGACTAATGGGAGTAGATTTGGGACGCAGAAGGTATATAAGCAAGTCTGCGCCCCCCACGCTTAACAGATGAACATTTGGTGAGATATACACTTACACTCAACTCTCTCCTTTCTATCTATCCTTGTGTATGTGTCCTAACTTGATCGTCGGAGGAGTTTTCCGGCCACACACGGCCGGGTAGCTCACCGTCGTTATGCTCGCAAGTCAATCGGACAGACAGGAGCTTGGAAGAAAGGAGTACGAGCTTGCCTGAATATTTGCTCCCTGTACAATTGGCGTCGTCTGTGGGAAGTTG